CTTGGGTTAAATATATATATATATCCCTTTAATTCTTAAAACCTCAGTCATATACCTAGTTGCAAATGCAGTTATATGAAGCATTTATTAGCTAGAAGCTCAAAGTACATACTATTAGATACACGAGATTATATCACATTTTTGATATAATTACTGTTGTATATTTTTGTATTTCTAGCTTACTTGAAAACAGAATTCTGATGATTCCAAAACAACTAATAAATATTTCATTTCATTAAATTTATGTTTTTCTTTATTATTAAATTATGTTTTCCAAAAAAATGAATTGATTACAATTTACAAATATATTTAAATTAATGAAACAATGTTAAAATTTTTCTTGTCTACAATATGAACCCTATTATGTTTGACTGCTAGTTTTACAAAGAACATATGACATATAAAAGTTACTAGAAGCTTTAAACTGTTTTATATTTACTTATGTATTAAACACCATTTTAGTTCATAGCAGCATTAATATTCTCCATGACTTTTTTATCAGTTTATATGTGGGATATTCACCATTAAAGTTGAACAATTAACTCATTAATCGATATAATCTTTTTTCCTATAGAAGTTGATTATAACGATTGATGTCAAAAAATAATTAACTGATCGAATTATTACCATTATGATATTGCACTATTATTTTCCATTAATTCAAGGTTGCTCAGCTTAATTAGTCATTGTCATGACTTGACTCACAAAAATAATCAACTGATCTAAATTATTGGTTTCAATTATTACTATTTTTGATTATTCCAACTATTTATTTCTTATGTAAAAATAATCTACAAGTTGAATGTAATTGATTAATAAACACAACAATTAATTGATTATCAAATTTCACTAAACTCCCAGTTCTATTAGGAAGTAGCAGGAGAAACTCTCATGGAGAAATGTAACTGTATCATCATCAATATTTAAAATCTAGCTCAAAGTTTTGGCTAAATGACTAATAGTTTATGGGTTTTTAAGCCAGTTTCTTAAAAGTTTTTAAAATTTGTTATAAGAAAGTATGATTTTTAGTCATTGTATCTAAAGAGTTATTTGTTAATGAGTTAGATTCTAATATTTTCATACATGTTATTGTTTTGTAAAATATATCAGAATGATCTTACATGAATTTGAAAAAGGTATTATTTGTAACAAGAATGTGGTGATATAGTTTAACTAATTCTTTTCTGGGAAAATGTTTAAATATTAAGTAAATTTTGTATTCCTCAGGTTCAGTTAAACCCATTTAATGGCTTGCCATACACTACCCGGTACTATGAACACTTTAGAAAAAGGATTACCCTTCCTGTATGGGAGTATAGGGAAAAGTTTTTGGATCTGCTGAATACTAACCAAATAGTGGTTTTAGTAGGAGAAACAGGATCTGGTAAAACTACTCAGGTAATGATGGTTTAAAATCTTTAAGTATGTGAGTTAGGTTTTCTCTTTTTTTTCTTTTTGCCAAAGCATTTCTGGTTTACATCTGACTAATTCTTGTGGAGAAACACATTATTTATATTTTTAAAAGCTTGCTCTATTTATCATAATTTTGTTTTGTTTTGTTGGTTGTTTGTTTTTAAAAAGGAAAGCAAAAATGTTGTAAAAAGAGATTTTTGTAAAGTGAAAAGCAACTGCCAAAGGAAGTACTTCAACTAAATAAGCATAAAAACTTGGGAATCAATATCATTATCAAGAACAGTTTTTGATGTAATAACTAAAAAGTTAGAAAATATCACCAGATACCAATTCATGCTTTTGTTAGATTTAGAAGCTTGGAAATTGTACAACAAAAAGTGCAGTTATAATTCACTATTTCAGGTTATTTAAGCTATAATTAAGCAATGAACATGTACAAAGACATATGTTGGTAAGTTATTTATGTATGTGAGAAATTTATATATTTCTACTCTACAGAGAGAAATTATAGTTAGAGGAGGGAAATTCAAAATGTTGAGTTAGGAGTTTGGATTTTATTTCTAAAACAAATGTTAATGAAATTTATATCAAGACAAAATTCTAAATCTAAACATACCACTTATAGTCTCATTTTCTAGATTTTCACTTGCCCTTGCAAAAAAAATGAAATGCTGGGCTGGAAAGGAATAATACTGTAATATGTATAATAATATTGAGGGCTTGGCTCATGAGTTTTACCACTTTTGGTAAATTATCACCACTTTTAATAAAATCTACTGAGAGACAAATTATTTGTCAAAAAAGAAAAAAAATTACAAGCTTGAAACGTTGAATTTGTAGGCTAAATGCAGTCAAAATATATTTAGGTTTTATTCAAAGCAATAATAATAACAGGTGGTTTATTTGCATTGGGCTAAAATAATTAAAGATTGTATTGTACTTGAAAAACAAAAATGTAGTAAGTTAATCCTTGTTCAGATTTTGATTCCCTATTATTTAGAGCACAATTATTATAAAATTTAATGGTGATCTAACAGGAGTATCATGAACCATCAGATGTTGAGATAAGTGTTATAAAAAATAAAAGTTGTAAAAGTATTCACATTGTTTTAAAATAAGCCATCTCTGACTCAACAGCAGAAAATATGGCTACTTTGGTGGATAGTTGGGTATTCCACCAGATCTTTGATCTGAGTAGTCGTTAATGTGTTTCTGTCCTGCCAAATTGGACCACCGGCTGTAATGATTATGCTGTTTTGGTACTCCTCTCTCTCTTCTTATCGTTGTGATATTGAAGCACTTCACTGAGAAAAAGTCCTCAACTTTTCTGATTCTTACCTAGTTTTGAATCCTTTCTTCCCTGACATTGTTGGGATTTGCACCATGCCGATTCATTTTTATTTTCTTTCCCATTTGAGGGCAAGTTATCATATACACCTCTAAGTTTACTATTCCTATAACCAGATGTTCATTTCTTTGGGTGTTTGACAGCACCTCCTGTACTGAAGCTTCTCTTATCTCTTATAACTGACTTTTAAAGTAACTGGTGTGCCACCACTATTGGTTCATACCTGCTGCACTTGTAACACCTTGGACATTTTACTGATTTACATTTGCAGGTTAGCTTTGAATCTGACCTTGTTTCCATTTCAACAAGAATAAACACTAAGAGACTCTGGCTGGTTGTCCTAGTAGTTCATCACAAATTTCACAAAAAGTTCTAGAATGGTGGGTGTTCCATAGATGATGTACAACAACAATGCCATGACTGTTGTCTGAATTAGGATAAGAAATCACCCAATTCTACTACCATAAACCAGTCATAACTTCTTTGAATGTTATCCAATTATAGATGGCATACACTTCTGGATCCCTTATAATAAAATGCATATTTCTGCAGATTTTCAGACTAAATGCTCGATATGGATAAGTGCTCTACTCTTTCTGTTGCTGTTGAGTTGGAGATTGCTTATCAATACATATTTGTAAACATTTGTTATTTTGGAAACTTAAATTTAGTGAAATTAGTGCTTTAGGAATCTCTTAATACTCTATTTTTATTGATTGTACAATAATTTGTAGGTGCTCTCTTCTCTCAAGAAATTTCTTAGTTATTAAGGTCACAATATGTGTGAATAATGTATACACCAACCATTTTTGTTAATGGTTATTTATGTATGTTTCAGATATATATATATTATAAAATTTAAAGGTTGGCTGATATTCTAGTTTAAGAATTTGTAAATAATAGACCTTCAGTTATTTTAAACTTCTTACCACGGGCATTCTTTACTGTGCATGTCATGACTTGTAATGTTTACTGAAAGTCTGCCAAATTTTGTGAAGATAAACATACTATATTAATAGTTAGAAGTATCAAAACTATAACGAGTACAAAGTGGTTACGTGATCAGTCAATTCGACCGAGCCCGTATAGAGAGAGTTAAACTCTGTCAAGTTAATTTTTTCTCCCCACCACCCCATTCAGGTAATAGCAATACCACTTAATATTTTTGATTTTTACAGTATGTACTTTTAAATTTTTATCCCTTCTCAGATTCCTCAATGGTGTGTTGAGTATTTACGAAACAAGTTTGTAGGAAAAAAAGGAGTTGCCTGTACACAGCCAAGAAGAGTGGCAGCTATGAGTGTTGCAGCTCGAGTTGCTGAAGAGATGGATGTTATGCTGGGTCAAGAAGTTGGCTATAGTATACGATTTGAAGATTGTTCCTCTGCAAAAACAATGTTGAAGTAAGAAGTCTAAAACTTCGTAAATTTGTCATTATAACAGCAATTTTACCAGAGTATTGTTAGTAGTGAATCTCAGAGCTTGATTTTAACAGATAGCAACTAGTTTAATTACTAGATTGATTTGTCATTTTATAATAAAAAATTAAAAAACACCACCACCATATGATAAGTATTACTAGCAGTAAAATCAGGAAGAACTTTCATTCATTCCACAACTGCTCTTTTAATCAGTGATTGCTGTGATCTACATGTTTTCAAGTTCATGCTGTGCACAATTTAGCCTTTTGAACATCTACATCAATATCTGATATGTCACAAGTGTATACAACATGTTAATATTTATTATATCAGATTATTAACCCTTAAAATATAACTTAAGTTTGAAAAATATTCTGATGGTGAGATTACTAATATGGATCTATTACATTATCAAGACAGTATGGTGGTTACACTCCGTGCTTTGCAGAGTTTGAATATCAAGCTTGATGAAGAATACGGTGTCATGATACACGAGACTGTTTCTATCAATTGCTCGAATAACTAGATTTTCTGCAACTTACTAAAATGGGACTTTTGTTTACTAGTACATAAAATTGTAACAAGTAACCAATATTAATGAGAAAAATTAAAACCAGCATAGGTGAACTTATTTGTATATACTTCTGTGTGTACAGGCACTAGACATAATGTAAATCCCAACATTATTCTAAGTAAATGAATGTAACCTACATAGAAGCCAGTGTGTGTGACATGTCACTTTAAGCTTGATTTCTCAAAATAGTAGGAGTCATAAAAGCCAAAATGCATTTATCCAGATAGAATAATTTGATCACTGTCTGCTCATGATTTTAGTGATGGGGGTGCAAAGGGGCTGTGAGGAGGGTGCCATGAAAGCTGATATTTGTAGTGAGTGTTGGTATAATAAGCCTAAAGTAAAGATATAAGTGGGATTACCTAGCCTAGAACCAAGTGCATTAAAATTTATCATGAAAGTAAAAATATTGATTCAAATATTTTTCCAGTTTTGTTGTCTGTACATTTTAGTTTATACTTTCATAGACTAACAACATTATTAGATTACACTTTTGCTTTTAAGCAACAAAAGCCATTGATTTAACGTAGTGTTACCAAAATGCACTGGCTTTTTTGTATATTATAAGTCTTACAGATTTTTACCAACAATTATTTTATAAGTATGCCACAAATTCATTTCTTGAATGATCTTAATTTTAACTGGCTTAAAAAAGAACTTACCGACAGTTCACTGCCTCTACTGCACTTTTCTACCTCTTTCTTGGTCAATCTTGATTTTGCAAAACTTGTTTATTTCAGTTAGCTATGAAGTATGAGGTTGGGGTATACTATGGTGTGAGGATGGTAGTACTTGCCCCGTCATTTTTGATGGGCTATTTGCTAGTCTAGGATAAAGTGAACTTTTTCAGTCTTGCCACTGAAAAATATTTGATTTCATAAAAACACACACACACATACTTAGATCTTTCCATATGGCATCCTTTTCTATACATCATGAGGTTTTACTGGGATTACATTCATAATTTAATTAAGCTACTTTATTATCATGGTATATACGAATAAACTTGGCATAAAAACATAGTTAATAAATCAAATTTTAATATAAGTTTTAAGTTCTTAGATTTATAAGGAAATATTTAAAAAATCCTTGTATGAGAATTGTGACATTTGCTTTCTAGGTATCCTCTCTTTTCTAATTTATTTGCCACCCCCTCCAAGAAATATGAAATTTAATGTAAATTACTCATTATAATGTTGTCATCACTCAGGTAAAGCATGATTTTTATAACCTTCAATCTTATTTGGTTACAGATCCAGAAACTAGAAAATCAGACCCCTCTTGCCATGCTCACTTATCACATCCTCTATTTCACAAATTGCCAATAGTTCCCTCTGACATTTAACACTGTATTATTTATAACAAATAGAAAGCCAATGTTTTAATTTATCAATTGATGTATTATATTACGTTGTTTTCTGTACAGAGAATTGTCTATTTTGCTTAGAGTTCAAACTTCATTCCCATGGGAAACACATCAATGAGCTTAGCTGAATTTTTAATGGTTCTTGTTGCATGATTAGAAAACGAAAAAAAAATTGATAGTTGTTGGATATTGTCTGCTTTTTATGTGTTTTTATTCTGTGTTCTTTGGTGCAGTATTTTATTAAATAAAAAATTATTTAATGTAGTAGTATCTTTAGTATACAAAAGTAGGGTTAAGTTTCATTGACAGTCAACAGCATGTGCATTCTTAATTTATTATTATAAAAGTAACCAAAATATGAAACTCAGAAACTTTTTAGATTAGATTAGGTAAAATAAAGAAAAAGAAAAAAAATCACAAGGTACGCTCATGAGTAGGCCATGCATTATTTAATTTGATAGGGTAGTATGAGTTACACATTTGCCAAGTGATTTATAATTTGTGTAGTGGGAGTATTTAAGTATAAACTATAAATACTCTTACAACTTTAAAGCTTTTTAGGATAAACAAATGTAGTTTCTTCTTACAATTTGTAGTCATTCTAGAAAGAAAAAAGGGTCATTTAGACTTTTTTTTTGTCATGGTTATGAGATAAGATAGAGTTAGGGTAGAGAAAAACAGATAAAAAATAGTTTACTGAAAAATACATTTCAAATTAATTTATAATTTTCAGATGAAGAAAGGCAATTTTAGTCTCAACACGAAGGTCATTTTGTACTCGGAGCAGTTAACACTTTGATTCCCTATATACATGGATAAATGTTTAGTGAAAATACTTCATTAAGAATTCTAATTTTATGTCTATAAAAAACTTATTGCTTACTGAAGGCTTAGGAAATTTCATGAAGATACACAAAATATATTAGAAATTATAGTGTAGAAACTATAAAGGTCAATTTGGGTCATGAACTTGGCTGATTCAACTGAGCCCATAGCAAGAGTGTTAATGCTTTTATCAAGAGTGGACCACATGATATGATTTATAAGATACGTTAAATGAAGGAAGGAAGGAAGTGTCCAATTTTAGTGGCTAGATTGGGTGACAGCTGGCATGAAATTAATTTAATCCTGTCACAATCAGTGAACACCTTTTAGGTATACAGTACATATCTATCTATCAGATCTAAAAAATATTAGCACTAGTAGGCTCAATTTGTGACTACCTTGTCTGCGTTGGTGTTTATGGTAGACGAAATCAGTATTTGTGGCTCATGGTAAATGACTGATTGACAGATGACCAACCAATCACAAACATGTTTTGGAGCCTAACATATCCTAACACATCGAAAATGCACAAACTCATAAAAGTGCAGTGGCTGCTGATTGAAAGAGATCAGCATAGAGATAGACCTTAAATCTTATGCCACCTGACTTAACCCGATAGACATGGGAGGGCCAAAGTGCATGTCACAACCTCTTTACAGAGTTGCATTTAAATTTTAATCAAACTACTGTATTATCAGTGTATGTTAATGCTGTGACTTCTCATTTATAGATTTTTTTCTCTTTACTACTAAGGGCATCAAACTGTTCAACCAGTTAGAAACACATACTATAAACATCGACAAGCCAAAATATTAAATTTTAAGATATTCTTGCTTTACTGAGATATCATTGTATTTGTTTAATCCACATTGACACACCACTACGGAATGAAATAGCTTGAAACTTTTGATGACCTTCTGATTTTTATATAATATTTGTTTGAATTTGAAGCTTTGAAAACTTGAAAAAAGTTCATTGTGGTATATTTAAAAAAAAACGAGTAAATGCTTACATTTGTTGTAAATAACCAAGCCAACTTTTTCATTGTTAATCAGAAGGTTTCACTTAATATATGTAACGAGTTAACATATTTTATATTCATATATATATATATATTTATATAGATATATATTGTGTTTTTACATTTCCCTTTGGTAATTTTCTGTGCCCATTCACGCAGTTACTAAGTAAAACCAATAAGGCATAATATAAACAAATGGATTACATATTTAAATGCAGTTGACATAGCTATCTAATTGTTTAACCAAGGTTTCAAAGTTTCATTTTTTGCCCATCTCAGGCATCATAGTTTGAGATGCAGTGGTGTTGTTAGCTGGTTGTTTATCTTTGGTTTCATTTTTTGACTTAAGAATAATGAATTTTGATTAATTTACATTAATAGACACTAAAATAGCCACATTTTTCATTTAAACCTATTAGAGTGCAATAAAAATAACAAGTCCTGTCCTCTTCAGTGTTGTTGTGCAACAGCAGTGTGTATGTATCATCCAATCAATTTATAATGTAAAATGTTCAGTCTTTGACTTTTATAATTCAGTTGAAATATCTAAGCATATTATGGTAAATGAATACTTAAATAAAGGAAAATAAAATATCAATAATTATTTGTTTCTTGTAATACTAGTTTTAGAAGAAAGTTTAAAAATAATGATTAAACAGTTATCACCAAAACAATTGAATGCGGTCCAATCATATCAATATTTATACTTTGGATACTTTTTGTAGTATACCTGAATTAGTTAAAAACTGCTTAGAGCAATAATAATTCACTAAATGTTTTCTGTTAGATACATGACTGATGGTATGCTGCTTCGAGAAGCCATGAGTGATCCTCTACTGGAAACATACGGTGTTGTCTTATTGGATGAAGCTCATGAAAGAACTCTTGCAACTGATATTTTAATGGGAGTTCTTAAACAAGTTATTACCCAACGTGCTGACTTAAAAATAGTTGTTATGAGTGCAACATTGGATGCTGGAAAATTCCAAGTGAGTTTGATGTCTATCTAAAAATAATGTTGTTTTTCATACTACAGCTAATTTCTAATAATTTATACAATTCTTTCAACAGAAAAAAACAAAGTAGTAATAAATCTTGGATAAATTTAAAACATAACATATTTGGTGTTTGTACAGACATGGAAGTTCTAGAAAAGATCAGTGTCTGCTAATTTTGTGAAAATAACATGGCATTTGTTACTTATCTTCTTTTTTTTTTAATTTAGTTAATAATATGGGTTTGGGAATGCTACTATAGTTGCATTATAAATAAATCACAATAATAAACAATAGTACACAGCCTACCAAAAATAAAATAGACCCCTTCCTCCGAGAATTGACCATCGCCATGGCATCATATGCTAATAAATCCAATATGTAAATATAAGTATAGCTCAGCATAGGTCACTAAATACAAACAGTCATGTCACAACCTAATCAGTTCTAGGAATTAGCCAAAGTTTCAAATAGTTGCACTGTGGAAAGAGGATCAAAGTCGGTGAAAAACTACCAAGCCACTTGTACCATTGTCAGCAGTGAATAGGGTGATAGAATAATTCCAGTCATGTTAGGAAACAACAGATTCTGCATTATCTGGATGCCCAAAACCGACAGAATGAAATCTTTGTGCTGTAAGGAGAAGTATGGAGAATGACCCACTCCAAACAGCTTTAACTGTACAATACTAGAACTGGGCAATTAACTCAATCAAAATAATCAAATACCCATGATCATTGATTACATGGATTAGTATTATGTAAAACAACTAATCAATTGAAATTAGTTGGAACAGTACTTTATTGTTAGCAGCCCTAAGCAAGCATATTTTGTAGATTCTTCACCCACCCAACTCTAAGGAAATAGTAATTGCATTATTTATCCAAGTCAAAAAATATACAAGTATAACAATTACTAGAAAGTTATTTCAACTCATAAGCAAACACCATTACCCTGGTATATTTCTCAAATCAAGTACACACACTGTAATTACTGCTCTTAACAACCAATAAACTGTGAGCCTGTTTAAATAGTGTCTTGCTGTTGTAATTTTTAAACATCTGCCCATTACTTTGATTAAAAAATTTTTTTTTTTTTCAAATGAGTACAATATTAAAACAGGTAAAAGTCAAAATTCTGATGAAGATAATAAAATAATCCCAATGAATCGAGGGCCTCTTGAGCTACTACATGCCGTAAGTAATTGTTTAGTCTGCTTATACCTAGTACTGCCATTGGAAATTTGTGTTCCCGATTATTAATATTTTCAATTATTACCATTATACAAGTAATCAAAATATTGCTGTTTCAGTTTCTTCTTATTTTTGCATAATTCAAGGTTGTTCAGCTTAATCAAGTTGTGTCATGAGCCACAAAAAGAAACAACTAATCAAAATGAGTGTTTGTGATTATTACTGTTTTTGATTATTCTAACTATCCAACCTTTGCGAGAATAACTAATTAGTTAAATGTAATGTGAGGAGGGATGTGCATGCCATGATATTTTACAGAGTACCATTCAGTGTTGTGTTATATATTTGTTGTTATCAGATATTTATTTTACCCCCCGTTACCGCTTTAGTGATAGTTGATGGTAAAGAGAGTAAATACTGGGTACAATATAAAGAGATACTGAAAAAAAAACAACTGTAGATCTTGGAGGCTCTAGCGATTATACAAATGCAATATGCGAACCTTACAAAGGACAAAAGTATGTCTATTCTTCACAGTACATCACCCTGCACACCGACATCATCAGTTCACAGCCATATCTAATGTACAAATACTTTCGTAACACATCTGAATTTCTGTGTACAATAGACTTGTACATTGTAAGAAAAGTTTGGCACATGGGATTATAGTTAACATGCCTTTATCAGTACAGATTCGGTCCAAAATGCCGATCCCATGTACATTTGTTTAACAAGCCCTATGATAAATTGATTAACAAATTACATTAATTATCCAGCTGTATATAGGACACATGCAAGTGTGCTCCAATACCATCAGAAGATATTCTCATAGTATGAGCTACAATGGCAGAATAGCTAGAGAGAAGCCACTCTTCACTTCAAGCAGTATTGCACATTAGCACAAGTGCTAGCTATCACACCCTTCTGCCTTTTGAGACATTGTAATTTTGGATGGTGAATGAAAATGGGTTTGGCAGTTATTCTCCCAATAATTTTCATTGAACCATCTGCTTGCTATGACCAACAATTCTGGGGTATTTGTATTATGGTGTGTGGTACCATTTGGACAACTGGATGATCACAGTTGGTGGTATGTGAAGAGATGGTCACTGATGATCGATATATCAGAGCCTTCTACCTGCCTATGCCATTGACCAGATTAACAGACAAAACAATGTTTTCATGCAAGATGGGGTTCTGCTTATTCACCCCAAGTCACATCCACTTTCTGAAAGTAGTTGGGTTCTTGGATTTCTTTTCTCATACTGACTTTTTCTTTTTATCCTGCATGCTTTGGAGTATCATGATTTAATTATCCTGGAGATACTGTTTACACTTTAACCAAATTAGGTTCTTCACTACACTTCTACCAGACCAGTTCTTTTTTTACAGTGAACAGATTAAATATATTTATCCACACTATTCAAATTTGTTTTTTAGCATACACTAATCATACTTGAAGTATTTGTCCACATTTTAGCCAAGTTTGATTCCTGTCTTTTATTTCTGCTGGACCAAAAATACATTTTACACTTTTTATAAGATTAAAATATTTGTTTGCATCTTAATTTAGTGATGTCTGTCTGTATTTCAACCAAACTACAACCAATATTAAACATAATTTTAAATAAGTAGGTTCTCAATAATTGAATGTATATAAAAGTGTTGAAGTTTTAGCCATCAATTACTGGTTAAAGATGACATTAGTATTATATTGTTAATACTATAATCATGTGTATTACTGTTTTGTTTGTTGTATAAATAAAGCATGGAATATGTCTCTTTGATAGACAGACTTTGATAAAAATTAAACTCAACTTTATCTTTGTATTGATGAGCGAACACTTCTTGAGAGAATTGTTCTTTCGTCTATGAAATCATGTTCTAGTACATATACTGAGTATTTTCTATTACTGTAACTTATATAAAAACAAAATAGTATTATTTATTTGTTTTCAATATTTTCTAAAACTAATTTTTGTGATAGGAATGTAACAAACTTTACAGTTTTCACATAATTGTAAGACTTGTTCTTTGGACACATTTTGTGTGTTATTGTACCTCGTGTGTGTGTGTGTATATACATATATAGTTTAGTTTTTATGTTAAACTAATCACAAAGTTAGATGAACCTCTAATAAAACCAGTTGTGTATAGTTATATCACAGTTGGTAAATGGTAGAATACAAAACATTTTTATTTCATTTACTATAAAAAATTATTTTATATAGTTGTGTAATAAATACCATTTTAACAGAAAGTGATATTTCCAGTTGCACAATTTTTTTAAAGTAACCATTATAGGTTTTATAAAACAGTTTAAAACATGGATCATACATAAACAATAACGGCTACAAAAATTGTTTTTGGAGAGAGAAAAAGTTTGAAATTAAATGGTATTTATTTTTACCAGTAGTTTGAAACTTTAGTAATCGGGTAACACTAAGTTTTGTTTAAAGAAGTCTGTAGTTGTACCTAATCTCGGAATGATGTAATTTACTCCATTTCCAAGCAGCAGAAATAATAGTTGGAAGATGGTAAAAGTAAGTTGGAGGTGTGTTTCTTTTGTTCTGATGAACAGGTTTTAACGTGTTATGTGAAACACTGGTGAGAATAATGTTTGTTATATAGTACCCATGAATTCTATGCTCATTTAAATTTACATATCAGTATCAAAAGTTAACCACTGTATATAGTCATAATGCTGTTCATCCCGATTTTAAACCCCAGAATAAAGCATTACAATCGTACCCTTTAAATACAGGTACATTTCATTTTTATGTTACTGTATAACACAATCCAGTGAATTTGTTGTGAAGGTGGAGTGAAACAGTGATACCTTTGGGATCATAATCATTTATGCATTTATTCTTCTGCATCTGTACTCAAATGAAACTAAAACATTTTCATAACATTGAATAAAATTCATCCAATCTGAAATTACATTGATAATTAGTCCATTCAGAAGTAGGGGGAACCTTGTTAGTTTTATTAGAAAGATTTTGAAACAAAAGCCATTTAATCAAGAAAATTTTTCAAAATATACATGAGGGAAAGAGTTCCATATTTGAAAGCTTCACTTACAACAAAGGAAACATTACATGTAATTTTACTATATAAATAATACCATAAATTAAAGGTGAAAATAAGAAAAAGATTGGCCACAAATATTACAGTAGAACCTCGATTAACAGGAACTGTGCCATTAAGGGCAGACTTTTTCGCTCTCTCTCTCTCTCTTTTTCCTACTATTTGTAACCAAAATAAATCTTGCAATAACAGGCACTTCGATATTCTGGATTAAGAGCAGTGTCTTTGGTCTCATTCTTTATAAGGGCACTCGATAAAGTGGGCAGTTATCTTTGTATGCCTGTACGATATACCGCTAAATTCCAAACATCTCAGAAGGATGACCAATGTTCAAACACTTGCAATGTTTATTGGATCGAACCATATACTGTAATAAACATTTTCATGAATTTAATATGCAATCATATTACTTTAGGGAATTCTTGTTATAAACACTGTAGGATACATAAGCCGATAAATTCCACATAATGTTTTCGGAGCAGGGGTCGAGTCAGCTTATTTCTGTGTGCATGCTTTGTTGCTCTCACGAGTATCATATTATGGTGTCACGTAAACAGTCTTATGACACAAATGGTGATTTGTTGATTTATTTATTTTCTGCAGATTTCTACTTCAGTCACTGACAACAAAATATACACAGAAAATATATGTGAAAAGTTTAGCAGTTCAAACTCTGAAGAGAAGTACTTTGTAACTAATAATAAAGAAAAAATGGCACAGCTAATCCACCCCTTGAGACCTTCTGTTGACAACATTCCATATCATAACAATGTACAACTCACAAACACCCATGTCCTGCATACACCAAAAAAAATTCAGAAATTTAATGTGGTCAATATGGATTCTAGCTTTGCTTGGCTCAATTTTATATTAAGGGCACCTTGCTATAGAGTACTGTACTGTACAATATAATAAGTTATTGCATTCTGATATGAAACTATGATATATTAGAACACAACTCTTAACATCAAAATACCACAAAAATCAGGAATATAAAGAACAAAAAGACAAAAGTATGGTAAGGTTATTAGCTAAATATACACACAAAATAATCTAAAGGGAGAAACATATCGACCACAATAACTATAGATAGTGTCCTGATACAGTATAGAACTGTTATCAACATGGATGTTGCAAAAATTTAAGTGTGAATATACTTCCAACTGCTCTGCATTAAATCACCCAAAATAAGTGAAAAACCATGCATTTGTATGCTTTACTTTGCAGATTTCAGCATCCTGCAGAAACTAAATTATTTCTATTTTACATTAATTAGTCTTGGCATTTCTATATAAGACATAAATTCAAATATATGCTAAAACAAGATACATTAAAGTTATACGTTACTTATGATGTCACAGAATTTGGTCTGAACAATTACTAATGAAGAACAGTTTTTAACGTAGCTATAACTAATGGCTAAGTACAATTGAATAAAGCAGATTATAAAGTATTTATATCATTGTAAGTAAATAATATGATTTGAGAAATGCCTTGTGGTTTCCCAAAATATTGTCTACCTGGAGCTCCTGTAGCAGTGAACAAAAATTTAATGGGAAGGTTAGAAGACTTAAACACAACCACAGTCTGGGATTTTTTTTATACTTTCTTTAAACATTGTTGTTGTTTTTTAAAATGTTTCTGTATTAAAATTAGTCTGTTTGAAATATAATTTTTTTTTTCTATATCAAGACATCAGGTAAACTTAGGTTTAGAGTATTGTATACAACAGCAAAATATTCTGATGACTGAGATCCTTATTTTTGAATATTATTATTAAATTTATCGTATTCAATCTATGCACACAAATAAAATAACTTGTATTGTTTATTCAAAAGAAACTATATTTATGTGATCTCAACTAAGAATATTTTTGACAAAAAACCATGATACAGAGCCTAAAAAAAGGTAACAGTGATGCCATTTCAAAAAGCAAAGACTTAGATTAATGATAAATCTGTCAGTTTTTTAAAAAAAAGTTTTATGAGCTCTAGCTAGAAGGAATGACTACTGCAATTAGCAAAACAAAAAGAAATATGATACTGAATATCAGTCAAAGTGAAACTGACTGGATATATGAAATAGAACTTTCTGATCAACAATGAAAAAAATTTAAATTTCAAGGCAAAGGAAATATTTTTTAAGGTTTTTCACAAAACAGGTCTCTCAACAAAATTTAAAAATTTTTCCAATCTAAAAAATTATAGAAATACCAAAACAAATTATTATGAATGTTTTAAGCAGAAGGTAGATACTATTTAAAACGTTTGTACTATACAAAATTGTGGTTATAGAATGTCATTAACAGATAATATTATTATTTAAGTAGACTGTTCTGTGAAATTTCTTTGCTCATCTGTGTGATATTTAGACATTGTTAAGTCCATTTTTGTGTCTTTCTCAATTGTGATGTACTGTTGAAGTTTCTGAAAACAGTGAAAATAATCATATTCTCATTATTGTTTCAAAAACAGTGTGGAGAATTTAGATAAATAACAATTTTATCTTCAAGGTACATTTAAAAGTGAATATTGAAGATTAGTTTATTACCAAACTAATATGAAATATTTATAGAAAGGTTCGACTATGTTATTTCTAGGAATGGTTATTCAGTATATTTCCATTATCTGGATAATTGCATTCTATGCTGATATCTGGGTTAACCTGATGGGAAGGTTTGTTAATTGTGCTTGTAATTCCATAAAGCATTTCAAGCATACTGTGAAAACTACTTGGTAAAGTAGTGTTTGACCAGTTACACGGTAATGTACCTTCGTGAAAAACCTCAGACCATGTTAGTGTTGAAGCATTTATTCATATTTTCAACCAATTTGTAACTGTAAAAAAAATTAATAAACATTTTGTAATATCACTGCCTAATGCTATTTATTGTAAGCTTCCAATTTCTGTAGGAGATTCATAAGCTCATTACAAGTTTTATAATGATATGAATTTCTAGAGTTTTCATTAAATCAATGATTAACCTCTGTTGGTGTTATAAAAAAACAGGTAAAAGTATTGTAATTCTTTAAACATATCTCTTTACAAAATAATGACTATGTTTTCTAAACTTTAAGGTATGATTCTTAAAAAGATTAATGAGTCTGTTCTTTGTAAGTTTATTCAGTGTATAAACTACTCATTCATGTGTCTTTTTTTTCTGTAAAATTTTTACAGCATTACTTTGATAATGCACCCTTGATGAATGTACCAGGCAGAACACACCCTGTAGAGATATTTTACACTCCAGAGCCTGAGAGAGACTATCTGGAGGCTGCTATCAGAACTGTAATACAAATCCACATGTGTGAAGAATCTGAGGGAGATGTTCTGCTCTTCCTTACTGGACAAGAAGTAAGAAGTTTTTTGTTTTTGTAAAATGTTTTGGCTTGTATAAAATATCTGTTTGCTAAAGTGTTTATTTGTATACTTTTTTAAAATGACACTGAATCATCTGAACGTGTTTGACAGGAAATTGAAGAGGCTTGTAAAAGGATAAAACGAGAAGTGGATAATATGGGGCCTGAAGTTGGTGAACTGAAATGTATACCTTTATACTCTACTCTGCCACCCAATCTCCAACAAAGAATTTTTGAGCCACCACCACCTAAAAAACCAACTGGCGGTATTGGTCGTAAAGTGGTAGTCTCTACAAACATAGCAGAAACCTCCCTTACCATAGATGGTGTGGTGTTTGTGATTGATCCTGGTTTTGCTAAGCAGAAGGTATACACTAATGTTTCATCAAATTGTTTAAAACATCTAATACTAAGCATAATTTCTAACAATTATTTTGTGCGTTATCATATTTGTTCTTCATTATCGTATTTTCTTTATTACGTTTTTAGTTAGTAAGAAATGCACTAATGCTAATAATGGTTCAGTATATATCGTAAATCAACTTGTAAGTTGTAACTGAAATGAAACCTTTTAGATACATAAAAACAATTTGTACAGAACAACCACTATAATTCTCTAAAATAAAAAAGTTCTCCCCTCATCCCTAGGAAACTTACAGTCACTTTTTAAGGACTTTAAGCTCCAGAGCATATGTTGTAACTATAAACAGTTTTAAAATGTGAAAATATATGAAAATGTAATTAACTTGTTTTTTGTTTTTTTTATCAAGGTTTATAATCCCCGTATCAGAGTGGAGTCATTATTGGTGTCACCTATTAGTAAAGCTAGTGCTCAACAGAGGGCTGGCAGGGCTGGTAGAACCAGACCCGGGAAGTGTTTCCGATTGTACACAGAAAAAGCATATAAGACTGAGATGCAAGATAATACATACCCAGAAATTCTTCGATCTAACTTGGGTTCTGTTGTCTTGCAACTTAAGAAGCTTGGAATTGATGATCTTGTACATTTTGACTTTATGGATCCACCAGGTAGATTCTAAGGCCATAGTTAACAAGAAAAAAAAATATTTCTTTAGTGTTCTAAATTTAGATAGGAATTTAATTCTTGAGAACAATATGGGAATCACAACAATATGCTTACCTCCGAAAATGTCATTTGTGTAATATTACACTTGGCCATCTTGGCCCATTGTTTGTAAGAGTTAATGTTAATTCAGCATTGTACACATACATGTCGATTTTCTAGCATTGTCACTTAACAACAAACAGGATTTAGCTGTTCCATTTCTGTAGAAGCTCAAGGTTTGTTTTTATTAACAGTGTCCTTGACTATATTATTGATAGTTTCCAATATACAATGTGAGATGTACTTTATATAAATAAGAATCCCAGTTCTTATCAATCACAAAATTAGAATTAAAAATATGGGTTCAGTATAAAGTCAACCATTGTTCAGCTGGAAATAAAAACAAGGAAAAGTAGTTAGTGGGACTAGATGTTATCGGACATTCTTCAGTATTTGTTGGATGTCTCTTCATGAGCACAAACTACAAAAATAACAGCCTAAGAAATGGCTGGAATTTTTTACATTATGAGATGTGAAGAAAGTAGAGTAGCATTGTTGTGTAAATGGGTATCTGTGGGCAAAAAAAGACCAGTAGAACACATTGATTTCCTTGTAAATGTTTCTGTACCTTTGAAAAAATTTCAATAAGCATTTTGTATCCAAAGAAACATCTTTAATACAGACGTTTCAGAATTTCCTTAAATTCCATCATTGGCCTTATTATTTCAAAAAAAAAGGTTTATAATATTTGAACTACAAAAAACAACATTAGCATTGAGCGAGTTTCATATTCAATTGGAAGTTTAGAAAGAAATTTAAATGGTAACAATATAATGGAATGTAAAATAAAACGTGCAGCATACACGTTTAGTAAATAACATTGTTAAGAGAAACTATTTTAGAGAAAGACTTAAGTATAAATATAAACACTGTATCTTTAAAATAATAATAAATATCAAATAAAAACACTGAGAATCTGGAATTGATTATATTAATGACAACAGGGAAGAGTTTATGCTATAATATAGTGTTGGGTGATCATTGAAAATGGAGAGGCTTTCTGTATTAAAGATCACCCAACACTAAATAATAACATCAACTCTTCCCTATTGTCATTAATGTGTCACACTAGGGGAAGTACAGGATTTTTTAAATATTGCCTTATAAAATTAAGAACTTAAAACTTATATACTATTCAAATATGGATTATTAGCTAAGATTATATGCTATACTAATTGATATAACATAAACAAAACAGTAGATTAATAAAATTTTGAACGTAAGTCACTAAAACCTCATGACATGCTCAGTAAAGGATGTCTGTGGTGATAGGGTTAAGTCTGTTCTTTCTAAACTTCTGATTGAATACAAAACTCACTCAATGCTAATGTTGTTTTTTGTAGTTTGAATATTATGAACTAACTTTTTTTGAGATATTAACATTGATAATGGAATTTAAGGAAATTCTGGAACATCCTTATTAAAGATGTTTTTGGTATTACTGTTTTCCTCCTGATGATTCATTTTGTATCCTTTTTTTTTATATATGTAATAAGTGATTTTGAATGACACCCATATTAGTAGAAAGTGGTTTCAATTAATTTGTGTTTTTTGGACATGAAATAACTTTGAATTTGCATAGGATTAGTTTAAAATGAAATTATTAATAAGAATAATGTTTATTACTTTTGCTTAGCACCAGAGACTCTAATGAGAGCATTAGAGTTGCTGAACTATCTGAGTTGTCTAGATGATACAGGTGATTTAACTGAGTTGGGCTCTGTTATGGCTGAGTTTCCCCTTGATCCCCAGCTTGGAAAGATGCTGATAGCATCTTGTGATAACAATTGTTCCAATGAAACCCTCTCTATTACTGCAATGTTATCAGGTGAGCAGTACGTTTCTTCTGTGGCATGATTACTGTTTTAAAATATTTCATGATGTAACTGCTTGTGCTATAATTACAGTTGAAGTAAAAGTGAAAACCAATGTCTTTAGATATTTTAAAAGCTTAAGTTCTGGTTAATATGATTCATTGAAAGTGGAAAAAAAAACTTAACAGCTTACTTCTTAACATTAGAGAGTTGAAAATAGCAATGTGTGTATTTGTCTAGGAGAAATTATGTTCTCAAGAACCTATTCTTATTAATGTATTCTTCAAAAATAACTAATTCTTTTATTGATTCTAGAAGAAAAATATTGAGTAGTATTTATAATTAATTCACATTCATGTAAGTTCAAATTATTTTGAGCTTTCTTGTATATAGATATATGTATATATATTTGTATATAAATTAAATTTAAACCATTAATTTGTGATTTGAAAGGAAAAAGCAATTTAAGTACTTTAACCTGTGAAAAATATTGTAAACTGTATAAGTTTAAAATAAGTGAAAAACTGAAAGAATGAAAATCTTTATCTATAAAAAAAAAATGTCTTTGCCCAAAGGCATGGTATAGTAATATTTGGCCAAATGGGTCAAGTTAAGGCCAGGCCAAATATTGCTCGGGTTTTCCATGCACTAAGCTCGATGGATGTGGGGTTGCTTATTTTTTGCGGCCCCCCCATCCAACACTGTTTAGTTCCACAGTGTTTTGTACGGCCTAACGAAGCAAAGAAAGCAGCAGATGAAGCAAAGATGAGATTTGCCCACATTGATGGAGACCACCTGACCTTGCTGAATGTGTACCATGCTTTTAAACAGAGTAAGCATATGTTATTTAATTCATAATAGGCAAAACGTAGATTCTGATGTTTTATTTTGTTTTAAATATGGGTGGCAGTTATAATGTTATATATATTTAGAACTTTTTAAGCTGATTACTAATTCATTTCAAATAACATTAATGTATACCATTAATCCTAGTGATGCTAGTTGATTAATCTGGCTGAGCTTTACTGATATTTAAAAAAAAGTTGTTTTTCTTAATCGACTACAACTAACTATTTAGATGCACATTTTAAAGGTGTATTTAATGTAATTGTGTGCTGTTGTGTAAGTTTTAGGCTAAGATTAACTATGTTTCACAGAGTGAACTGCACTTACACAAGTTTTTCTTGTTTAAGCACTTATAAACCAGAAATGGTCCACCATTCATAATATATTATTTTGTTAACCATCTTATTTGGAAGTTTAATTTTTGAAATTATTTAATTAAATGTTTAACATATATCAAAGATATGAGATGAATAAAAACCCTATATACCAAGTGCTTTCGAAAGGTATATCTTTCTTCTTCAGGGGCAAACTGGGAAGCAGTTTCTATCAAGACCTTTTAAACCTATATGTTTTTTTCTAACGTCATCAAAGATATGAGAAATATTTTAGTATAAAGTGCCACATAAAAGGATTGTAAAAAATTAAATAAATGGAGTTCAGTCAAACTGGATTAATGTCACAAGTGGGGTACCTCAAGGCTCAATCGTAGGACCTTAGCTCTTTTTGATTTAGATTATTGACATAGATAAAAGAATAGTCAATAAATTTTGTGGGTGTTGCTGGCTGTGAGGATGCTGCTGCTGTTTTAAAAAAGGATTTGGATAATTTAATGAGTTCAGTGAATAGGTAGTGGATGGGATTTAATTATAATAAATGCAAGATAATGCATGTGGATTATCATAATTTGAGTTATAAGTGTAATTTGGATGGGAATAACCTTAACAGTGTTATGAAAGAAAGGAATCTTGATGTAGTGGATGATTAGTCTTTTAAGCCATCCAAGCAGTGTGTTGTTGCTAGTATTAGGGCAAATAGGATTTTAGGTTGTATCTACAGAAATATTGAATACAAGTCTAAAGAGGTTATAATTTCATTTTATAAGGTCACTAATTATGCCACATGTCGAGTATTGTGTTCAGTCTTGAGCTCTTTACCTTGGGAAGAACATTGAGTTGTTGGAAAGGGTTTGGAGGAGGGCTACTAGAATGGTGACTGGGATGGAAGGGTTGTCATATGAGGAGAGGTTAAGATCTCTGAAATTGTTTTCTCTTGAAAAAGGAAGAGTTAGAGGGGATCTGAATGATGTGTTTAAGATTGTTAAGAGAATTGATTGTATTATTATTTTTTGTTATCTCAGATGTTGTGAAGGCAACAAATTTACGTGAGTTTAAGAGAAAGGTTGATATGAATTATAAGGGCAGGCATTGATGGTTTCTTCTTTTTTTTTTAATAACTTTAGTTTAGTTTAGAGAATGGGGCAGCCTAAATGGACCAGTAGGTCCCTTATTGTCCTTAAAACTTATTATGTTATGTTATACTGTGTTTCCATCTATCAGTGAACTTCATTAATAGTCTGTCTCTTGCCATGTAGATCATGAAGATCCACAATGGTGTTATGACAACTTTGTAAACTACCGCTCCCTGAAAAGTGCAGACAATGTGAGGCAGCAGTTATCTAGAATCATGGATCGATTCAACTTGAGACGGTCATCGACTGACTTCACAAGCAAGGATTATTATATAAACATTCGAAAAGCACTTGTTTCTGGTTTTTTTATGCAGGTAGATATGTATATTATGTTTGTAACGATAGAAATTTTAGGTATGCTCACCCTACTCTGAAGCTAGAAATATTTTGAATTTAAAACTAATACCAAATAGGATTCAAAACTTTTACTGTCCTGTTGGGCAAATGCTTTATTCAACTTAGCTACTGTATCTCAAGTGCTACGTCTTTCAGTGGTTATGTCACATATGTATAACCTTGAAATTTGATAAGATTTTTGAGTTGTATGCTACAACTAATCATTTGAATTAGCTCTTTCAATCAATTTTGCAATAAATAGAAGCTAGGTCTTTTAAACTGACTAGCATAACTAAAGAACTTGTCATGTTCTTTCCTTACTAATCAAACAACCAAAGTCATGATTTTGAAAACTGCTTGGCTTCAGTTTCCACTACTAATGAATATGGTGTGTTATGTTTTTCTTTATGCACACTTGATTTGAAAACAAATTTACACTATTCAACTTATTAGAATGTTTTAAGTCTTCAAAACACCTGTATTTTTATAGTAAGTTTGAAACTAAGCAGATTAATATAAGGCTGATAAAGGTACATGTGATTTTGAAAATTAATTTTAGACAAATTATACTTTGAATTGGTTTTCATTTAATTTTTAAACTAGTCTTAATCAAACTGTTCTTTTGTGATCTTCAGACTGCCCATTTAGAGAGGACTGGTCATTATTTGACCATGAAGGACAACCAGATAGTTCAGCTTCATCCATCCACCTGCTTGGACCACAAACCTGAATGGGTCATCTACAATGAATTTGTGTTGACCACCAAAAACTATATTCGAACAGTTACAGACATTAAAGCAGAGTGGTGAGTACTATCATTATGAGTGTTGAAAAGAGAAGTACATTACAAATTACCCGAACTTGAGGTAATTATTTGTGGTAATAAAGTTTACAGAAGTAATCATATGTGTAATGATATTGTCATTCTTAAAAAAAAAGGTGGGTTTGAAACTAAGTGTCAAATTACAGAAAGTAAATTCTCCCATTTTTTGATGGATTTCTGTTATTTCCTGGCAGTCTCGAAAATTTTAGTTTTCAATTATTTTATTGGTTGGAATTTTTTGCTTAATGTACATGACCAATACTCATTTTAGACCATATGAGTGGGAATTGAGTTATGCATAACATTAAGGTGATGCTGTTTGAATAGCTTGTATAATCTTTTAGGTAAGAAACTTAAAAATAAGGATTAAAGATGCTCAAGTTATTGTATACTGCTACTGTTTCCTTGTTAATATCAAAAAATGGTTTTTAAAATATGTTCATGTAGTCTGTCTTAGTAGTTCTATTAATGGAGTTTTTGTATTAGTTTTTTGAAAGTCTTGTTTTTATAATTGCCAGGGGGGGGGCATATTATGGAAAAAAATGCCAACGTTTTCTTTTGCAGGTAGGGGCTGGGTGAACATCCATTTTTGGTTGTTGTGTTTTCTGTAGACCACTGTCATGATTGAGTATAGCTTTGGTGGTGTTTAAGTTTTTTACACTTCTCTCTTTTTGCTTACCTGTGCTGGGAGTATATATGTATTGTAGCTTCACTAGTGTGTGTGTGTGTGTACCAAAACAAGATATGCTCTGCTGTTTGTAGTTGATAAGATTTCATGTTGAAACTTATTTAACTTTTGTTAAAATGCTAGGAAACTTGTCAACAGTTTCTTTGTTTTGGTTCACTCTAACATAAATCAAGTATTTTTCAGATGTCATTTTTTATAAGTTTACATGTGGAAATAATGGTTAGATGCAAGTTGAATTATTGATGATGTACGTGATGAATAGTAGAAGCTTTTCATCAAACTTAAATGTCATTGTTAAGCTGTAAGTTAACATTCTTATTTCTCTATGTTTATTAAATACTTTAAACATAGTGGATTTGATGTCTATTGTGCAGGAATGGACAATGTTTGGTCTTTGTGTTGAGACCAACATATAAGAAACTTCCTACTGCATGTTATGTTTTGTTTTTGAACATCAATTATAAATTTTATTCCTAAGTAAACCTTGCATTTTTTATTTTAGTTCTTTTATATATATGTCAACTTCTTCCATAAGGGTAAAAAAAAATTCACAGAATTGGTAATTAATTACAGATTTTTGTTGATGAAGTGCTTCTTTTGTGTCTGGAAATAGACATGATCTAATAATCATTCATACTGGACGTGTATTATACCAGAAAGCTCCCTCTGGCCATAGGTTTTTCTTTGTCACCTGATATGTATTGAAAGACTACAGAGATCTACATTAAGAGAATGATTTGACTAGCCCTTTCTTCCTACACTAATGTATCTTATTTTTTCTAGGTTAATAAAGATTGCGCCAAATTACTATGACATGAGCAACTTTCCCCAGTGTGAAGCCAAGAGACAGTTGGAACTGATTATAGCAAAGCTAGAATCCAAGCAGTATCAAGAAGGGTTTTAACACATTAGATGTAATGAGCCATTAGAAACTAGTGACATTAATCTTTCAAGAACCCCATACATCATTGGTGTATATTTCAGTGCTCTTATGTTGACACTCATTTAACACAGTTTTCTTAGCAAAAGTTCTTTAATTATGAAAAAAATGTAAATTCAATTCATGAATGTTTTCATATCTCAGTCTAAGCTAATATGTTTGTTTTGCTAAAACTGGCATTATCTGGTGTGTGTGTGTACTGTGTGTTTATTTTTGTCATGCAATAAGATATTGACCTTTTGTAAAGTTCTCAAAAACGTATTGGTTTTGTTTTTCAATAAAAACTACTTCCATTACAGAGTGATAGGTTTATTTGTGCCTGACAGTGTACTTTGTTGTAACTGTTTAAATAACTTAAAAGCTGTTAAGTTTTTAAGATGTGTTACCCATTGTCATCTCCTACCTTATTATGTATACTTCATCAGTGTAGTATTTTTCTTTAGGTTTCTTTACTACATCTTGTATTGTAATAATTAAAAATATAAAAATGGCTATCTGTTGGTGAAAAGTAGTAATTTGTAAGAACGTCTTTAAAAATTTTTTTAGTGATAATTGAGTCCTTTGAAGCTTTAAGATTTTGAATAGCCTGTTGTCTTAACATAGAGTTATGAAATTTGATAGATACTGGAAAAAAAAAGCTTGCATTTTATGTGTATATTGTTATCAAATACATATTTTTACTCTTTTTTTTTTAACTTTAGTGATGATAGTACACATAAATCACAGTTCATATTCCTATGGAAAGAATTTTGTTTCTTCTCTTTTTTAAAAAAAAAAATTAAATCAATTCTTATGAATTGGAAAATCTGAGTTTTGTAACTTAGTGTCAAAATTTCAAGTTAATATTTATAAGTTTGTACAAAGTGAAGACTCGTTTGTAGGAAGATGCAAAAGTTTTGTTCCTTTGATTATAAATGGAATCTGACCTTATTTTGAAGTAGATTATAAAGTATGTCATGTTGAATAAAGAATTAAGCCTGTGTGTTCTGGAGAGATATTGCAAAGTATGGTTACTTTTAAAAGAAAAGTACTCTTTTTTTTTTTTTCACACCGTTTTGAGGAGTGAGGAATAATTATGAAAAAAGAACATTTGAGGAAAGATAATACTTAACATAAATAGTGCTAAAATTAGACACTGTTGTAGTAACAGATGTTGGAGTACAAAACAAAAAATCACAGCTTTGGAAATGGGAGACTATAAATAGTAATAAATTATTAAAAATTAATTGTTTTAGAAACGACTTGAAAAGATAAACCTGTCAGTTAAAAGAGTGACAGAGTATAAAAGATTTTACCAGATACTAATGAGGGTAGAGGCGTCTGTCTAACATATTTGCAGAAAGAAAGATGAACAACTCCTGTTATTGCTTAGTAATCTGTCATGTTGAATTACAAGCTTGACCTTTCATGTTTAAAAAGGAAATCTGTGATTATTGTTAAAAGATAACATTAATAAATATTTGAAAAAAAAACAGATAAGTTACTGGTTAGAAACAAAAAAGAAAAAGAAGAGTGTTTAAAATGGGTCCTATTGTGGTAAAAAGTTGTTATTGTGTTGCTGTATATGTACCTAGAGAGAGGGGTTTCACTACATTTTTAGTTTTCATCGATAATGAAGTTTATATGTTCACAAGTTAAATCCCCCCCTCTCCCCAACTCACAAATTAAGACTCAAGCTCAAAAATTCAACTGCTCTAATAAATAGGCTTTATAACACACATTTTTTTTTATATTTGCATGAATCACTAGTTTTCCTATTTAATTTGAATAAAAAGTTTCTACTTATGGTTCCTTTTTTTTTTTTATTGCCATACAAAAATTATTTTCCATTAAATGATATAATACTTATCTCTTTAAATAAATTAATTCTCTTTTTTCCTTTTTCTGTTTTAATTTTCAGCACTGAAATGAATACAAGTGTCATTATAATTAATCTGCTTACTCATCCCTAAACGTAATTGTTGATAATTCAGTAATGAAACTTAAGATTTGTGTATACTAATATGGAATATCAGTCCAAGTTATGCAAATGTAGTCACATCTTGGTTCATGCAAACTTTGAAACATTTCATGAAGAAAAACTTCACATCTAGTATTAAATCCAGCACTTAAGGCTATGGTGAGGATCAAGACTGTAGGCCAGCTTGCTTGTTGTAGCCCTAAACTGCTCATCATAGTTGTCATTGTAAGGTCTTGAACGTCACAATGGCTTAATCATCAAAATTGGTATGAAGAGTAATGGAAAACTATTATATAAAGCAATGAATCCCATTAATCATTGTTTGTTTCAAATATGCAAGGCTTGGTTAAACAGCAGTCTGGAGAGTACTGGAAATAATTAAGAGAATCATGATTTTTTGCATAATATGACTTTCTCAATAATGCTGTACTACCTGCATTGATAAATTTTATGGAAAGAACCACACCTCTTTCAGCAACATAATGCTCTGTACTGTATCACACCCATTGTTGAGCAGTAGTTTGAGACAGATAATGTCCAAAATCTGTATTAACCAACTCTGACCTGAATTTAATAGAACTTTGGGGTACCACCTAAGAGACGTAAGGAGTAGACCCTAAAACATTTGAATCTAGTTTCAATGTGAATGGTGTTCTGTTCCATCTAGTAACAGTATCCTCACTGTCACAAATGTCATTGGTGGTTGACCCTTTTTAACTGAAGAACCAAGAGCAAACTTAACATTCCATCTGAAAGTGTGATGCTCTGATTCTTTAGTAATGGAAGTGTACATTACAAGGTCACACTGCAAGAAATAGTAAAAAAAGTGATAAGTTAATTCATGGCAAATGGCTATTTCCCTCCTCTTCATTACATATACAAAAAAAAACTTAAAACTTCTGGTATTAATTGTGTCAACATGGTATGCCCAGCTAACACAGTGTGATGTCATTTGTGAACAGTATTGATTATTTTCGGAAGACTTCCCACTAATAAAAATATTTATTTCAAGGCATCCTTGAGGCTATCACAGTAAAGACTACACATACAGCTTAGTTACATTCATTATGTATGTCACGCAGAATAAATGTTCATTTATATTCCTTTGAGGCAGTTTATTAGTGTGATAGGATCAAAAACTGACTGCCCATCCATATATAAACATATGAAAGATTTTACAAATGCGGAGTCTTTTTTTTTTTTTCCGGTGAACTTATACCCGAGACAGATGAAATGTTAAACACAGAAGAACGGGACTTGATTCTAGGTAACTGTTCTGTAGGACAGTCTGTTATTAAAGTTAAACAAAACTATTTCCAAACAACATCAAAATTTAAAAGTATTATGAAAGTAGTTTTCCAAATTATTAAATTAAGGATAGCTTCAGTTCTTGTCTCTTACATGATTATACCAGGTAAACCTAGCGAAACGTCGTGAACAAAATTATAGTTTTACTATGTAGATACGATAAGAAATAAAACGTGTGAAGTCTGATGAAAGGTTTTATAACCACGAAATTTTATGTTAATTGATGAGTAGGATAGAGTGGTGAGAGATGTTGCAGAATTAGACTTTAGATCTAGGTAACTGATCACCCGATTGATGATATGAATAATCTTTGATAGGTTGTTTAGGCAGAGTATTCATAATGAATCTAAGTTTCAAATGGTCAGTAACTGCCTGTTGTAGAAACCCACAAACGTCGTCCTCTACAATTTGTAGGTTTCTACAACAGGCAGTTGCTGTCCATTTAAAAATTAGATTCATTACGATATGAATAATTTCACACTTGAGGAAAGCCCCCTTCAGTGGCGCAGCGGCACGTCTGCGGACTTACAACGCTAGAATCCGGGTTTCGATACCCGTGGTGGGCAGAGCACAGATAGTCCATTGTGTAGCTTTGTGCTTAATTACAAACAAACAAACTCTTGAGAAAAATACCGGGTAGCCTTAGGGACGATCTGGTGGAAGAATTTACACACTTCCAGGGACATCTTTCTAGGTAACTAATTGTTACGAATATTTTGGTATGCGGTATAAAGTGGTTGGTTAACCAGCTGCTTTCTACTGAGTGCGGCAAGACTTGTTCTTCGTTTTTAATCCCTGTGTAGCTAATATTTTTATTTATTCGACTGTCGCATGGCAGACCGACATATCAACCACTCGACTGTTGAACAGCTGTGGATGTAATTAGAATATTAACAAGAATGCAGAGAGTTGAGTACGATGTATCAAAATGATTTTAAATATGCAATTCAGGCAATCACAGCTGATATAAAAAATGCGGTGGCATAGATAGTATGGGAACTGCATTTGGTATTGTTTGGCATTTTGTAGATATGGTGATGCCACCTAAAATTTATTTATTTTTTTGGTAAGCTATTAAAAGCCCTTCGATGTAAAATAAGCATACATTCAAATCATAAAGATATGTTTCTTTTACTTAATGGCATTATAAAATAAGGGAATGTGGAACGAATTTGGGAACCAAGACAATCCAGAAAGAGAACTAGAGCGAGAGAATCCATAAACTCAAAGATCAGTAGCAAAAGTATTTCACATGCCCCATATAACAGTACGCAACATGGTCAATAAGCAACACGTCTTCCAGCGAGTCAACATGTTTACACATTTGAAATGCTTAGATCCGGGGCGGCTCCCTACGGTGAACAAAGTGCAGATAGCCCATTGTTCAGCTTTGCATAAAGTGAACAACAAAAGCAATAACGTCACGTGTAAACAATTCGCTTCCCTTACATGTCCATTCAACCAGAGCATATTCCAAGCAGCTGGAGAATGAAATGGGCATTTCTGCTGTTCCATACGAATATATACCGTAAGGTCAAGTCGTCGTATGCAGCGCCTGTAAAGTTTTGTGCGATTAAATTGTTGAAACTGTCGTCTTCGTACACTATATGGTTTATGGAAAGAGTGCAAATTGGACATAATAGCCTTAAGACAGAACCTTTTACAGTGGGAATTACATTACAGGACATTATCGGACGTGACGACATGTACTGTAGCTATGGAGTAGTGCTTCAAGTTCGTTTTAATACAACATAATCAACCTCTGCCGTTTTACTTACCACTGTTTCTTAAAGTTGTCTCACCTTGTCGGTTGTATTTTTTTTTTTTTTTAATCTTGTACTTTTAAAGGTTGGCCACAACTAGTACTTACCTTGCGACGACTGGAATAAAGCCTTATGAAAAATCAAACTGGTGTATTTACGTGTTTTACACTGACCAAAAAGAAACCTATCATTCTATAGGTATTTGAAGAACTTGTAGAATGATGGGTTTCTTTATGGTGAGTGTAAAACACGTAAATACACCAGTTTGATTTTCGATACCTCACTAGTATAAAGGCTTTGTTTGGTCTGATATTTCATTGGTGGTAGTGTCCATGCTCACTAATGAGGAGTGGAATTCTTCGAAACTAGCCTGGCTCACAGACACACACCTCAATGAAAGAACAGACCATTCCAAGCTTTTACTTGTTGTTAAACAAATGTTTAAACAACTCTATTTATTCAAAGCCTTATCAGTCACTTGCTTTCTCGTAGCTTATCCATGCGAACAAAGAGTACTTATTACTGTAAAAGTACAAACGTCTGAACTTAAAAGCTGTAAATTGCACTCCTTAAGGTTTGTTAAGTACGAAATATGAAGAACTATATATCGAATGCTGATAATATTTGATTTATAGTAAATTTATAGTCTGTTTTCCATGCCAGAGTAGAGCCTTCTGGAAAAATAAATAAATATGCGATGTATATCAGAAATTTAAAAACATTGATAAGTTGAAGACGGAATCTGAAAAAAAAAGTAACGCGCTGAAAAATTATGTAGTTTATTTCAACTTATTATTTTTATGTATTCTTGGCATTTTAAAATAAAACAAGTTATTTATAGCCTACACTTTATATAAAGAACCGTGACAATTTGGTAATAATTATGTAAAAGTGTAAGTGTGATCAGGTCTTGATTCAGTAAAAAAAAACATAAAGCTGTCGTTCACTTGTGAGTGCATGAA